CGGAGCTCACTTTTCCTCTCAGCAAGCCTTCGAGAGAGTCTGGCACTGTGTCCTCATTCCTGATGTTCAGAAGTCAGACTTCTTTGCAGCCCCTCCTCAAAAGGAGGAATCAAAACATCTGTGTTCCTCCTGCTGAAAATCTCTGCCAGCAGCCTGTGGCCTTCACAGTCAAGCTCCCGCTTTGCTGCCAGGATCCAAGGCTCTCCTGCCATCCAGGCACACGCTCATCAGCCACATGGCCTCCCCACCCTGAACCCACCTCACCCTCCTGCCTGGTGCCCGAGCGTCTCTTTGGTCTGGACTGCCCTCTCTATGCCTCCTCCCTGGCTCATTCCTAATCGCCCTTCAGGGTCCTGCTTAGGTATCACCTCTGCTAGGAAGCTTTCCCAGACCTCCCGAGACAGTATAAAACTGAACTACCATGGTGTATTAGTCTGTTCTCACACTGATAATAAAGACATACCGGAGATAATGTACAGTGAAAAAGAAGTTTAATGGACTCACAGGTACCTGGCCTGGGGAGGCCTCACAATCATGGTGGAAGGTGGAGGGGGAGCAAAGGCATGTCTTACAGGGCAGCAGGCAAGAGAGCGTGTGCAGGGGAACTGCCTTTGTAAAACCACCGGATCTCGTGGGACACATTCACTACCGTGAGAACAGTATGTGGGAAACTGCCCCCATGATTCAGTTATCACCACCTGGCCCCGCCCTTGACACATGGGATTATCACAATTCAAGGTGAGATTTGGGTGGGGGCACAGCCAAACCATATCACATGGCAAGGGCCCAGACTTCAGAAGTGGCATTCCTGTCTCGCCAGGAACACTTCAACAAGCTGCCTCACCTCTCTAAGCGGGAGGTTTTAGGTCCTCTTAAAACAGTACCTACCTCATAGTGTTGTTGTGTAGATGAAGGCAAAGCCCTTACTTATCATAGTGCTGGTTTACAGCGCTCGACTAGGTACCTGGCTTTTAGTCCTTGCCCAGCTACGGACATGCTGAGTGGACGCAGACAAGTCTGTCTTAGCCTTGGTTTCCCCATTCTGTTAATGAAGCATCTTAAGCCCCAGAAGCCTGTGGATGGGTTTGGTTGGGGTAAATTAATAATGCAGCCCACGGTGCTGGGGCCTCTGGGCATGTTTTCAGAGAAGGGCTGCAGGCCACCCACTAAAGAAATCCAACGGCAGCACCAGCAGACTCTGCAGGAAGCTGGGCACTCTCCAGCCACTTGAACCGCCACGACTGAGGATGTGAGCAAACTTAGGCTCATGCTCTGATCTTGCCTGGCTTCCTGCGGCCAGTGCTCAGGACACGTTGTCATTTGAGTGCTGAAATGAACCTCTGGGCCTTTCTTGTTCCTCAAGGACAAATTCAACCCCCTCTTTCCCTAGAGACTGGCATCCTGCTGAAGAAGGCATGGCCAAGGCAGGAGGTCAGGAGCACACTCCTTCCCAGGCATCCTGAACTCATCTTTCTCATCCCTCCACCTTACTGTTCCCCACCCCCCACCCACAGGAGGGCTGGAAGACCCATGAATTCTACCAATAAGTAGCCCTCGACCACCTCTTTTCTCTGCCCACTTGGTCCAAGCCCTTGGCATCTTTTTGTTGGGCGATTGTAGGGAAAGGTGAGACATGTGGCTCATGCCTATAATTTCAGAGCTTTGGGAAGCCAAGGTGGGAGCGTTGCTTGAGGCCAAGAGGTCAAGACCAGCCTGGGAAACATAGAGAGACCCTCATCTCAAAAAAAACACACAAAAAAACCAAAAAACAGCTGAGCATGGCAGGGCATGCCTGTAATCCCAAATTCTTGGGAGGTTGAGGGAGAAGGATCATTTGAGCCCAGGAGTTTGAGCTATGATGATGCCTGTGTACTCAGCCTGGGTAATGGAATAAGACCCTATCTCTAAAAATATGTATAAATAAAGATCATGGGCTGGGCACAGTGATTCAAGCCTGTAATCCCAGCACTTTGGGAGGCCGAGGTGGGCGGATCACGAGGTCAAGAGATTGAGATCATCCTGGCCAACATGGTGAAACCCCGTCTCTACTAAAAATACAAAAATTAGCTGGGCGTGGTGGCATGCGTCTGTAGTCCCAGCTACTCGGTTGGCTGAGGCAGGAGAATTGCTTGAACCCAGGAGGCAGAGGTTGTAGTGAGCCGAGATTGTGCCACTGCACTCCAGCCTGGTGCCTTGTGACAGAGTGAGACTCTGTCTAAAAAAAAAAAAGATCGTGGTAGATCCAGCTTCCAGGCTAAACTGCCCTTTCTCTACCTGCTACCCCTCTCACCTCTTCTAGCTCCTCACTCACCCTTTACTCTGGCCTCTCTGGCCTGTTGGACAGTCCCTGGCTGAGCTGTCGGGTCACACTTCCATGACTTTGTTCACTTCATCCACTCCCACCTCTGGAAATGCTTCTAGCCTCCAGAGCCGGCCCAAAGTCCTCCTCTGGGAAGGCAGGCTCCTCTGGTTCGGGTCAGAACTAAGGATGCCCGAGGGCTCTCTCAGCTCCTGGTTGCATTGCAGTTGGAGAGAAACTCAGCGGAACGTGCCAGAGCTGAGAGCTGACAGTCCCTTGGGCAAGATCCCTGAGGAACCCTGTTGCAGGAGCTCCTCAGTTGGTCCGGGTCAGAAATGTGATTGTTCCGGCTCAGGGAGGGCCCTCCTCGGAGCGTTCAGCCCAGCATTTCCTGAAATCCCAGCCCGCCCTCCATGGCCTGAGTGCTTCCTTCAGATGAGCCTGAGGATCCAGGTCTCTTCTCTCAGGGCGTGGCACCTGGCTCACAGCTTGGTCCAAATCAGGTTTGCAGAGACTGATGCGTCAACAAATGTGTGAGGCAATAAATGAACCAGGGCCCACCAGTCCCTTGGATGCTCATTTTCAGTTTTCTTTTAAAAGCTTTTTTTTTTTTACTTTAAGTTCCGGAATACATGTGCAGGTTTGTTACGTAGTTATACGTGAGCCATGGTGGTTTGCTGCACCCGTCAACCTGTCATCTAGGTTTTAAGGCTCTATTCGTCCTGATGCTCTCCCTCTCCTCACTCCCCACTGCTAACAGGCCCCAGTGTGTGATGCTCCCCTCCCTGTGTCTGTGTGTTCTCATTGTTCGACTCGCACTTAGGAGCGAGAACATGCAGTGTTTGGTTTTCTGTTCCTGTGTTAGTTTGCTGGTGATGATGGCTTTCGGCTTCATGCATGTCTCTGCAATGGACACGATCTCATTCCTTCTTGTAGCTGTCATCTTCAGTTTTCAAAACTCAGAAAGCTGATGTGTCAACCCAATTTTATTAATTTTCTGTGGGGATGTGTCTGTCTCCCTTGTCAGGAGCCCTCCCATGAGGCAGATCCCAAGTCTCTCTTTCAGGGTATGGGTGGGACACTTTCTGAACCTCAATCGCATGTTTTATTTTATTTTTATTAAAAAGAAATCTTTTGTGACAGGGTCTTTGTTGCCCGGGCTGAAGTGCAGTGGCATGATCACACCTCACTGCTGCCTCAACCTTCCAGGCTCAAATGATCCTCCCACCTTAGCCTTCTGAATAGCTGAGACTACAAGTACGCACCACCACGCCCAGCTATATTTTTCTTATTTTTCGTAGAGATAGTTTCTCCCTGTGTTTCCCAGGCTGGTCTTGAACTCTTGGGCTCAAGTGATCCTTCCACTTCAGTGTTCCAAAATGCTGGGATTATAGGTGTGAGCCACTGCACCTGGCAAACTCACTTTTAAAATACCCCCAGAGACTCTGCCCTGGCCAAGGTATAATCACACACGTAGCTGGAAAGGCTTCAGGGCTGGAGTGCCATAGACCGTGTTTGGGTCCCAGTTCCAGCACTGACTTTGCTGTATGATTCTGGACATCGCTGCCCTCTCTGGGCCTCAGTTTTCTCATCCGTCTAATGGAAATATCCAGCCTTGCCTGCATGGGTGGTGTGAAGCTGGAAAAATAACCAGAGAAGCAGCTTGGTCAGGCTCCGGGACCAAAATATAGCTCCTATTTCCAGAAAACTAGGCTGTTTAGGTGGGCAGCTGGGCATAGAGTGGAGGGTGGGGAGTGGTGGGGTGGAGAGCAGGGTGGGCAGACAGAAGACTGGTGAGGAGCCCTTCAAGATGCTCTTTCTCCAGATCTATTATACAGCTCGGAGCTTCCTAGGGCGACTTCCCACTGGTAGGATGCCAGATATCCTGTTTCATGTGCCGTGCCATGTGGTTAAACCGGCAGAGCCTGCTGGGATAACTGAATTGTGGAAGATGCTAAGGTTGCATCCAACCCCAGTATATCTGCCTTAGGTACCAAAGTGGTAGGAAGTGGCATATGTTTCAGGTATGTGCCATCACGAAGGCTAAACTAGGCTTGTCGTTTAAGCCCTAGACATATCATCACTCCAAGGGGTGACGGGATTAGGATCCACAAGTCTGTCTTGGAGCAGTTTGCAGATTTCCTCTGTGTGGCCCCAGGGACAGGCATGAAATCATGGAATCAGATTCCCCTCATCTGTGTGTGTGTGTGTGTGTGTGTGTGTGTGTGTGATCACGCCTGGCTAATTTTTGTATTTTTGGTAGAGACGAGGTTTCGTCATGTCCCCTCATCTTCGTTAGAAGCCACCTAACATGGTAATGAGCTCCTGGCCATTGGAGGCATTCAAGCAGAGGCATTTGAAACTTGCAAACAGAAGAGAAAGTTCCTATTCAGAAATGATGTGTAGATCCCATTTCAAATACTCCTTCCTACCCTTGAGCACTAATATTCGATTTTCTTTTCTTTTCTTTGAGACAGAGTCTCGCTGTCACCCAGGCTGGAGTGCAGTGGCATGATCACAGCTCACTGCAACATTTACCTCCCAGGTTCAAGCAATTCTCCTGCCTCAGCCTCCCAAGTAGCTGGGACTACAGGCATGTGCCACCACACCCAGCTAATTTTTGTATTTTTGGTAAAGACGGGGTTTCACCATTTTGGCCAGGATGGTCTCGATCTCTTGACCTCATGATCCGTCTGCCTCGGCCTCCCAAAGTGCAGGCATTACAAGTGTGAGCCAGCACACCTGGCCTAGGATTCGATTTTCGTGTGAAGGGTTATCAGTGCCGTTCCAGCCGGCCTTCCATGCTGGCCTGAACGGCCCACTCAGGGTCCTGGACAGGCGTACTCATCCGACCAGTCGGAGCAGTGCTGTACGTGGTCACGGCAGAGACTCCTCGGGATACAGCCGCAGTAAATGAAGACAGTTGAAGGACAGCGCCACCACCCAGGGCCGCAGGCTGGGCACACCGTCACTGGGGAGACAAGAGCCAGCAGGAGAGCAGTTACCGTGTCCCGGAATGCTCTGTGCACCAGGGCGCTCCCCACTTCTGAAACCCGCCACGGCTCCCCACGGCCCTGACCCATCGGACGTGGGTTGAGTGTGTTCCTGGTTTTCCTGCAGCAGAGAAAATCTCGACTCCACATCTCACAGGCCGTGTGACCTCGCTCACCCTGTCTGAACCTGTTTTCTTGTCTGCTCAAGCTTGTTATTAAGCTAAGGATGTTAGGCAAAGTGCCAGGCACACGGTCAATGGGTGCCAGGCACACATGAATGGGTGCCCTTCCTGCCCCTGAGCCCAGCCACGCTCACCCGCCACGACTCCCTGAGGGTGCTCCTAGCCTTCTCCCCACTGCCCAGGCCTCCGGCATTCCTCCCCACACACCCACCTCTGCCTACTGAGTCCTGTCTATTCTCTCAGGCCTTCTTGAATGCCACCTCTGCTGAGAAGTCTCTCTTGATTCCTTCGGGTCCCTAGCACCTCCTTTTGGCATCAGCATGATGTGAATCCAGGGGTAGGACACATGCTTGATTCCTGATGTCCCCACTGGAATCTGATGCCAGGTGTGTTCTGAGCACCTGACCAGGGCTCAGAACGTGTTTGTTGACTGACCACTGGGGAAGAGATTGAGAGAGACTCGGGGGCAGCGACAGGACTCAGGACTCAGCTCAGGAGGCCTGGGTTCACCTCAGCTCCTTTCCTGTCAGGCATTGCACTGAGCTTCTCCTCTCAAAGCCTCAGTTTACTAACATACAAATTGGGGCCAGTAATTCTGGCCCTGCTTTCCTCATGGGGTTACTGGGAGGTACAGAGATGAGGGAGCCCCAGGTTCAAATCCCAGCTGGGCCAAGTATGTACTCCAGTTTTCTCATCTGTGCCCTTGAAGGTGACTCGCCCACTGCAGAAGAATGAGTCTCCAGAACAAGTCACTGGGCGGGTAGTGAGCACCCCACCACCAGACGTATTCAAGCACGGGTAGAAAACTTCTTCCTAGGAGGCAGGGAAGGCAGGCAAGGGGAAGCCCTAGAGATTCCCTGGCTGCCCTCTGGCTGCTGCCTGGCCGCCGGCCCCAGCCCAGCCCGTGCCCAGACCCCTACCTGGGCTCAGTTCATCCGAGCAGTCCCCGCAGTTGTTGGTCCCATCACATTTTTGGTCTGCGTAGATCCAGGAGGCTGGGTCTCCACAGCGGGCCACGAGGAAGCGGGGGAGGCTGTGGGGCACATCTCCTATAAAAGGGCAGAGGAGGCAGGAAGAAGTCCACATCTGGCCACAGCTGTCTGAGGGCTATCTGGAGGAGGACTGGCCACCTTGGCAGTTGCCAAACTCAAGCTCAGTGCCTATCCACCCCAGAAGGGTGCAAGCAGAAGGCTTCATGGAGAGGCAGCAGAGTCAGAGGGAGAGGAGAGCTCCGTCCCTGGACAGATGCCCAGAGAGCCGCCCCTCCCTTCCTCGGTTCCTCCCCAGTCCTGGAGTGTCCCTACCCCACACCACTGCTGATACTATGCCTCCCTCCACAAACAGCCTCCATGACACCCATCCAAAACCAGTCCACTTTCAAGTTCAGGCTCAAGTTCCCTCACCTCCAGGAAGCCTCCTCTAACTGGAACATCACAGGAATAAATGTGGAGTCTTACAGTTGGGCCCCAGAGCTCAGGGGAGGTGGGGCTCACACACCTGGTGAGGCAGCGTCAGAGCACCTTTCTGGAAAGTGTGTTCTGTTAGACAGCGGTGTGATAGGGCTCCCCAAAATTCACACAAACTCAGGCCGCATCACTAGAGGTAGAAAACCTCAGCCAGGGAGGGAGCAAGCTTCTGGTCCTTAGACTGCCCAGACCCAGCTGTAAGGCCCAAGGACATTTCTGAGGCCTGTCCAGGGAGGGGGACGTGGGCAGTTGATATTCATTCTGTGGAGCAATGATGGAGTAGGGAGGGCGAGGAACCCGGTCACGAGCGGGCTGACTGTGACCTGGAGAATGGGGTGTGGCCTGGAAAAGAGCACGCTCATAGCGGGCAAGGGAGCAATCTCCAAATCCATGCAGCGCCACCATCATGGGAGAGGTTAAAACGCGGTCTGTTGGGCAGGGCTGATAGGACAGAGTTGGAATCAGTCCGAGGAATCGCTTTGGGAAGCAACTCTGAGCTTGAAACAAGGAAAACCTTCCAATCCTTGCATCCCAGGGGATGGAAGCAGAGGCTGGGTGGCCTCTGTTGGGCTTGCTAGAGAGGGGATTGGGGATGAATGGGGCAAGGACTAGACACTTTTGAGATTTCTTCCATTCTTGAAGGTCTATGATGCAATGATTCTCCCTCCGTGAGCTCCCACACCCCACCCACTGCACCTCTCCAGGCTCTCTCCCCTGTGGCGTCAGGCTCCTCTTTCCAAAGAACTTCAGGTCTGGGGCCAGATCTACCCATTCATTCACTCATTCACTCATTCATTCAGCAAGCCATTCTGGATACCCCTCTGTGCTAGGGACTGAGGCCTGGCTATCAAGCGGACTGGGCCTGCCTCAGAGGAGTTCACAGTCCGATGGGAGCAGCAGATGTGCTAATCAAGAGCAATAACCGGTGTGACTTGGGCTGGGACACAGGGGACCACAGGGACTGTGGAAGCCCAAAGGAGACACTTTAACCTAGTGTGGGAGTCAGGGAAGGCTTCCTGGAGGAGGTAACACTTGAACTCTGCATTGAGGGATGCACACGGGTTTTCTGGGAATGGAGATGCACAGGGTGAAGGCATTCCTTAGTGGGGTCATGGATGTGTGTCCCTGACTGGGATCAGGTGCTCCTGGTTGAAGGCCCTGGAGAATTAAAGGCATGGGGTCATGAAGGTACCTGGTGTGATCAGGGATGGCTGAGCTTCAGTACTGCTGCAGAGAGAACTGGAGTGTGGGGGAACCCCTGGGAAGGGCAGCACCGAGTGGGTACTCACGGCACAAGCTCTCGTCCTCATCCTCGCCGTGGGTACAGGTGCGAACGCCGTCACAGACCCCACTGGCTGGAATGCAGCTCCTCCGGTCACGGCACAAGAAGCCCGTCCTGTTTGTCAGTGTTGTACAAGCTTGAGCTCCTGAATGGGCAGGGGAAGGCCCTGGAGGGTCAAGGGTGGTGCTCACAAGGACAAACCTTCCGCACCTGAGCTGCACCTGGAGCTGGCCTGAGGGACAGGGCAGTGGGGAGGATGGACCCAGCGCTGTCAATGGGGTTCAAGCCCCAGCTGTACCCCCTGCCCGCTGCCCGACCTTGGGCAGGTGACGACTGCCGTGAGTCTCAGGTTGACTGCAACACCATAGCACACAGGCTGTGCGACTGCTGTGGGGAATAAATCAAAGCATCCCTGTGAAGAAACATAGAACAGGAAATGTGCACAACAAGTAATGGTTCTCAGGAAGTGGCGGGAGAAAAAAAAGTACTGGTTCTCTCCTTTACAGAAAACTTATATACAGTGTCACAGGAAGCTTCTGAGGGCAATGTTCCATTCAGTGACGTGGTTTTAATGGCAGAGCTTCTGGTACCAGGTTATGGTGTCAGAAGCATTATATTTGGGCTGGCTGGAGGACCATACATCATCACTCCTTCTATCTGGGCACATCTGCAAAGCACTTCCACATCTTTATTCTGTAGTTCCCCAAACGCCCCTGAGACACGTTCTCATTAGCCTCCCCCCATATGGGAGCAGGAAAGGAATACCCACTCCTAGGGCTGCCCCAAGGAATGAAAAGACAGAAAACTGGCTAAGCCTGGTGGTTCCACCTGTAATCACAGCACTTTGGGAAGCCGAAGTGGGCAGATCTCCTGAGGTCGGGAGTTTGAGACCAGCCTGACCAACATGGAGAAACCCCATCTCTACTAAAAATACAAAATTAGCTGGGCATGGTAGTGCATGCCTGTAGTCCCAGCTACTCGGGAGGCTGAGGCAGGAGAATCACTTGAACCCTCGAGGCGGAGGTTGCAGTGAGCTGAGATTGCGCCATTGCACTCCAGCCTGGGCAACAAAGCAAGATTCCATCTAAGAAAAAGAAAAAAACCTGCAGACAAGGTAGGGGTGGGGGAACCACTTGGCCCCACATGTGTGTATGTGTGCATAATTGGGGTTGGAAGTTGGTTTGTGCATTTGTGTTTGCGTATGTGTGAACCACCTCTCAGCCCCTGGGCTGCCTCAGCTAGGGTGTGTGTGTGTTTGGGGGGCAACTCCAGGGATACTCATGTTGACACAAACACACACAGACGCACACACATGCACACATGCTCACACACAGACAGCTGCACCTACATGCACACTCACAGATACACAGACAACAGATATGCACACACACTGACACGCACACTCACACAGACACAAACATGCATCCACAGACATCTGCATCCACTCACAGACATGCTAAACACACAGAGTGCACACACAGACGCAGGACTGCAGCTGCTCATGTACTCGCATCCAGTTCAGGGTCTGTGTTCCTGCACTGGCAGGTAGAGTACTATGAATCTCAGCCCCCGCCCCCACCTCAGCCCTCTGCACCCACCCTGCCCAGCGGCAGAGCCATCCCTCCCCGGTGCAGCCTGTGAGGCCCTTGGCACCCGGCCCCACTCATCACTCCAGCCCTTCCTGTGCGCTGGCCTCTTGCAGTCCCTCCTTCTCTTCCTGCTTCTCCCACCCCTCAGGGCTCCACGCGTGCGTTCCCTGTGCCTGGGATGCTTTTCCTGGCATTCCCCCATGACTAGTACCCATTGTGCCTATCCTGACTCCTCGATGGGGCTAGACTCTCAGGGCTCCCAGAACCCCGCTGTAACGTGTATTCATGTCTAGATTGCTCTCCAAACAGTGAGCTCCGTGAGGGCAGGCACTGTGTCCTGATTGTTCACCCCAGAGCTGGGGCTGCAGGCATGTGTGGGAGGTGATCCTGTCTCCCTGTGGTGGAGATGGCTAACACCACCTGGGATGGCCAGGCCAGGGGAAGGGGAAGTGTGGGGACTGTGGGGCTGAGAAGAGGTTCCTAACCCAGCCTGGGGGTCCAGGAAGGTATCCTGGAGGAGGTGACATCAGAGCTGGGTCCCTTCAATAATCATGTCACAGATGTGCAGATGGACGCTGAGAGACCGGCATAGTCAGTGTGTGTGTAGGTGTCTGTGTTGTCTGTGCATACAACGTAAGGAATTTGTCCTAAGTCACATGGTGGAGAAGCCAGGCAGGTCAGGGCTCCCCTGTCTCTCTGTGTCCCCCATATCCTCCCCACTGGGTCTGACCCACCCTCTCTTGGCCGCTCTGACCTGGGGTTCGTGATGGGAGTCCAAGCGTGGTGACCACAGCGATGAGGGCGGCCAGAGTTGCCAGGAGGAGCAGCAGAAAGGCAGAGAGGCAGGCCCCACGACGTGAGCAGCAGAGGGGTCCGCAGCCTGCCGAGGGGAGCGGGGAGGGAAACAAGCCTGGGGGGGTGTCGTGATGTGGGGCCAGCACCGGGAACAGGGAAGCCCCTCCCCACCATGCGCCCCGCGAGCAGCCCCTCCCCTACCAGGGTGAGCAGAGCTGGGAGGGCTTGCCTGGAGCAGCAGCTCCTAAGCCCCGCTTGATGCTCTTTGTTCTGCCTGTGGGCTCACCCCACCAGGTGCCACCCCGGCCAGGCGCCCACAGCTGGCTGAATGGCAGAGGTGGACAGCCCTCCCTCCCACTCGCCATCAGGAGGCCTCCTCAGGACGCAGGGAGAGATGGACGCCTGCATGTCCAGTCCCCGCTATGGGGCGGACGCTCCATCTGGCCCTTCATAACTGTGGTCTTTATTTTTCAAAATAACCTTTTATTTGATCTGTGAGGAAACTGGGGCTCAGAGAAGAAAAGGTTCAGGTAACCCAGGGTGGAGCTGGTATGTGAATCCATACCTGTTTGATGCCAAAACCCATGCCCTTTCCACAATCCCAACTGACTGTCCATTCTGGAGTCTGCTGGGATGCAGGCTGGAGTCCCAGCTCCACCACTTCCTACCTGAGCCACACTGAGTAAGTCACTTCACTTCTCTGAACTTCAGTTTCTTCATGTGGGAAATGGGGACCATAATAGCTACCTTAACGTTTGTTGAAAGGATTAGAATTTGTTGAGTTAATGTGTTAGAACAGTGCTTGGCACATAGTAAATGCTGAATATGAGCTATTATTATTGCTTTTTAAAAACTTATTATTATTATTTTTTTTATTTTAGAGCTAGGGTCCAGCTTTGTTGCCCAGGCTGGAATGCAGTGGTGCGATCATAGTTCACTGCACCCTCTAAGTCCCAGGCTCAAACGGTCCCCTGCCTCCGCCTCCCAAAGTGCTGCAACAGGTGCGCACTGCTGTGTCCGGGCTGCTATTGCGCACTGAGGACGTGCCACGTGCCAAGCCTTATTCTAAGCACTGGAAATAGTAGTGATAGGGGACATCCCTGCTCTTGTAAAACTGTTCTTTAATTCTCCTTTAATTCTCTCCTACTTACAAAATTATAACAGAAGGCTTTTCTAAGGACCTCCTGGTGCCCCGCCGTGTGGCTCCAGCTCTGGTCTTCGCCCTCTGCAGCGTGTTATCGCACTTAGAAGGCAAAGCATGGACGTGTCTGAAGGAGCGTGGGAGCTACTGACCTGCCCAGGTCGCAGGTACCTCAGAGAAAGGGGCAAGGGCAGGTGCGATTCATCCCCGTGACCCCAGGACCCAGCACAGAGCCAGGCACATGGTGGGAGCTTTTGTTTTTGGGGGATTTTTTTCCTTCTTTTTTATTTTTTTTATTTATTTTTTATTTTTATTTTTGAGACGGAGTTTCGCTCCTGTTGCCCAGGCTGGAGTGCAATGGCGCGATCTCGGCTCACCGCAACCTCCGCCTCCTGGGCTCAGGCAATTCTCCTGCCTCAGCCTCCTAAGTAGCTGGGATTACAGGCACGCGCCACCACGCCCAGCTAGTTTTTTGTATTTTTAGTAGAGACGGGGTTTCACCATGTTGACCAGAATGGTCTCGATCTCTCGACCTCGTGATCCACCCGCCTCGGCCTCCCAAAGTGCTGGGATTACAGGCTTGAGCCACCGCGCCCGGCCTTTTTTTTTTTTTTTTTTTTTTTGAGACGGAGTCTCGCCCTGTTGCTCAGGCTGAAGTGCAGTGGCGCAGTCTCGGCTCACTGCAACCTCTGCCTCCTGAGTTCAGGAGATCCTCCTGCCTCAGCCCCCCAAGTAGCTGGGATGACAGGTGGCTGCCACATCTGGCCAATTTTTGTATTTTCAGTAGAGACGGGGTTTCGCCCTGTTGGCTAGGCTGGTCTCCAACTCCTGACCTCAGGTGATCCACATACCTTGGCCTCCCAAAGTGCTGGGATTACAGGCGTGAGCCACCGTGACAGGCCCGGAGCTTTGTGAACACTCTGTGAATACGCTGGCCCAGAGGTCCAGGAGACAAGGGAAGGCCCCCAGTATGGGTCAGTTATTTTCAATCCATTCACATTTCTGATGCAGGGTCCTCAGAAGCAGGGTGGGATTTCCACAGGCATGTAAGGGAAGGGTGCAAAGAAAGGGGCTTCCAGGCAGAGGGCATGGCAGGAGGAAAGGTCTGGTGGTTGCAGGTGGGGAGCGCAAGTGGCCTGGTGTGGCCGGGCTCCAGGATGGATGTGCGCTGGGAGGGAGACGATGGCAGGCGAGGCAGCAGAAATCTGAAACCCGTCATCCCTACAGCCCTAGCTGGTGGCTCCGTGGCCGTCAGCAAACAGGGTAAACTCAGGTAACCAGGGAGGCAGCGTGACTCTGGGCAGGGAGAGGTGTCCTGGTCAGCCAAGCAGCTCCTCAAATATTTGTGCAGCACAGACCATGCGCAAGATGTTGCCACGGGAGGACCGGCAGAACCAAGGCTCCTGCCCCAGTGAAGCTATTGAGCTTCAAAGCCAGAAAGCCCTTAGGTGCCAGTCCCTTCCCTGCACAGATGAGGGAAAGGAGGCTATTCTTGCCACAACCACAGCCGTCACGAGTCAGGACTTGGAAATAAACAAACACCGGTATACAGCAACAGTCCTGGGGCTTTGTAACCAGAGAGACCTCAGTTCACATTTGAACGCTGGCCCTCCAGCCTCCCTGCTGTGAGACCTTGGCCTGGTTACCCAACTTCTCTTAGTTTCAGCCGCCTCATCTGTGATTGCCCCATGACAGGGCCCCTGTCTCAGAGCTGTCCCGGGGATTAAAGGGGCCATGCAGTGCCAGGCACAGAACTGGGACTGGATCCTTTATAGTTAGTATTTTCATCTACCTCTCTGGGTGTCTTTCCTCACTGATCAAATGTGGGCCAAGCCAGGGCATATACGACACTCAATACATGTCTGTTTCTTCCTTCTTCTATCTTCAGAAGGGTAAAGAGAACTGTCCTGGTCACACCATGGGCCAGTGGCACATAGTAGGGCTAAATAAATGTGTCACTTTATCTCTCAGAGGTAAAGAGAATTGTCCACGTCACCCACCTAGTCAGGAGTTTGATGCTGTATTACAGGTGGGCACTGTATGCAGTTTGGTGCCTGTGAGGTCGGCAGCACACAGTAGGTGCTTAATAAATATGTGTGCATGGAGAGAATGAATAACCCTATTAAGCAAGTGACTGTCAGTATGGCTGACCAGGAAGCTGGGAACAGACAACATTAACATGGGGCAGAGGTCTGAGGGGCAGCGGGAGCCTCGAACCCTCCAACCTTCCTCATGCCTCTATAGCCAAGTGCCAGCTTCAAGGGAGCCCCACAGGGCACTGGCCCGGGCCCTTCAGTTCTTTACCTTCCCCTCCAGGGAGGGCCTTGGGTCCAGCAGCAATGCAGCCATCCTCTCCCTGCCCAAGAGAACAGAGCGAGGGGTGGGCTTAGGTGAGGTGAGGTCCAGCCTCAGGGAGGCAGACAGCAGGGTTTTCAGAAGGGGTCACGAGAGTCTTAGGTGGCACCACAGCTCCCTCACACCCCAGCATGCTCATCGTCCCAGATGCCTCAGGCCCGCTTCCCATTTCCACACCTTTGCCTGCACTGGGTCCTCTGTCTGGGACGCCTTTTCCTCTGCTGTCCACCTGGCAAATATTCATCCTTCAAACTGGCGTGGGCAGCAACTCCTCTGTGAGGCTTTCCCTGATACCCAATAAAGCTGATGCTCTCCCTTCCTGTCCACCTGGCTCCTCTGTGTCCGTCCCAGCACTTGCCACCTGGACTTTATAGCTGGGTCACCGGTAGGGCCCCCTACACCCTGGGAGTGAGCCCCGGGCCAGGGCGGGGGCTGATTTTCCTCTATGTCTCCCATGTACACCCCCTCTCTACTGCCCACTGCTCATCCCAAGGTTTGCTCTCCCAAGATCAGGAGCCTTGTCAGAGCAGCCCTTACCTTGGGGAAGACCTTGTTCATGTCTTCGGCTTCTAGCTCCCCGACTGGAGCCGTGTGCAGAGAGCTCAGCACCGGTTCCCTGCCTTGTCACCAGGGGCAGCCTGGAGGAGGGACAGGCAGGAGCCTTGCCTGGGCCGCACCCTCCCTGTGGGCAGTGCCCTCCCTCCCAGCTGCCTTCCAAGCAGAGGCAAGGGCAAGAGGGCCCTGCTCTGGCCAGGCTGTTTCCTTCTCTGCCGTCTGACAGCAGCACTGCGAGGCTGGAATCCTCATCCCCATTCCACAGGTGAAGAGCCAGAAGTTCAGAAAGGGAGAAACTGCCCCAGGTCGCACAGTAGGTAGGAGGGGTGAAACCCAGAAACTTTTCAGGAGTGCTTTTTCCTCTGCATCAGCGAGGAAACTGGAGGAGCTCGCGTTCCAGGGGTATGAAGATGTGGGCAGAAACTCCCAGAATTAACATTTCAGTGCCTAGAAAGCAGGGGTCATTTTCTCATTGCTGTTCTTTCAGTTCAACGACATAGGTAATTTAGATGGAAAGAATATGCACTTTCCACTAAAATTATAAAGCAAGTATAATTTTAAATTATTTTCTTTAGAAGCGTGGCAATGTGAATTTTTATTGTCCTTGAGGTGGCACCCGAGGTAGGGAAGAGGAGGGGGGCTGGTTGCTTGCCTGAATAACCCCTTCTGTGCTCCCAGTGAGTGGGTTTCCCTAGCAGCCTGTCCCACTGCTGAGTAAACCTGGAAGCTTGAGGGACAGGTCCAATGACCCAGACCAAGAAGGGAGAGATGTCTACCTCCAGAAATGAGCTCGAGAGTTCTAGGGAGGATCCCCTTTCACCTGCCTCTGATGCCCATAGATTTTCCAACCTGCAATCAGCCTTTTCTTTTGCTCTGGGAAATAAAATGCTGGATCCACGTGGGTGCAAGTGGGAGGGGCAGACACAGGGGCAGCCCTTGGGAGGCAGCAGGTAACACGGTGCAGAGCTGACGCCTGGACCAGGAGCACGGGGCTCTCATTAGGGCCCTGCCGCTGGCTCTGACTTGTGCAATTCACTCCCCTTCCTGTGCCTCCAATACTTCATCCATAAAATAAAGATATAAACCAGATGAAGGGGGTGTTTTAGCTCAGGATTCCCCAGAATCAGACTCTAAGACAATGTTCGAGGGCAAGCAGATTTAATTGGGAGTGATCCCAGGAAACAGTGGTCGGGGAATGAGGGAAATGAGATTGGAAAGAGAAGGATCCGTTAACAGGAGTGTTAAAAGCAGGTTCCCGCTGTGGGCAAGTGGAATTTAGCCCTGCTGGGGCCCTAGGGGGAGCCGGGGGAGAAGGTGCACCTCAATTATCCCTCTCAAGGTAGGGGGAACTGGGGTATTAATCTGCCAGCTCCTGCCAGTCTTGGTTGAGAATGGCCAGAGGAGGCCAGGCATGGTGGCTCACACCTGTAATCCTGGCACTTTGGGAGGCCAGGCAGGTGGATCACCTAGGAGTTCGAGACCAGCCTGGCCAACATGGTGAAACCCTATCTCTACTAAAAATACAAAAAATTAGCCAGGGGTGGTGGCAGCGCCTGTCACTCCTCAGGAGACTGAGGCAGGAGAATCGCCTGAACCCGGGAGACAGAGGTTGCAGTGAGCCAAGATTGTACCATAATTGCACTCCAGCCTGAGCAACAAGAGCGAAACTCAGTCTCAAAAAAAAAAAAAAAAAAAAAAAAAAAGACTAGTCAGAGGGTGTTAATTCCTTGCACTGGGCTGCCTTAGGCAAGGAGATGCCAGTGTTGGCAGCTTGGCAGCTGCACGCTAGGCTGCTATGTCCTGAAATGGAAAGGGTTGAAAGCATGGGCAGGGCACCCATGGTCCCTGCTAAAGACACTAAGTAGATTTTATTTGGCGTGCCAACTACAAATGATTGGAAAAGGCTCTCTGGAAAGTGCAGCTCAGAAGGATTCTGAGGTCAGGACTGTGATTGACTAGAGATGCCTGCCATGGATTTAAGAGTGAAGAGGGGTATCAGACATGATGATCATTTGCCATTCCGGGACCTGTTAATGCTCTTCAGCCTCTGGCCTTCCTTGACTCTGATTCTTAAGTGTTCCTTTATAAAAAGACTCCTCAGGGCTGTGAAATGCCTTTTCATCCATTGAATCCAGGTACAGCCACATAAAACTGTGCTGAAAGCACTGTGTCTCTCCAGGGCTCAGGCTGTCACCAAGAACCCTTGAGGGAAGGGCAGCAGGGGGCCTGGTGAGATGATGGAGAGGCCCTGGTGCCTCAATCCCTGAACTTCTTGGAATCATATCCCCTGCGGTTCACAGTCTCACTCTCGAGGGGAAGGAATGGACGGAAGGGAGGCAGCTATTATTTATTGAGCAGCTGCTATGCTTCAAGCACGACACCAGCTGCCTCGATCCTCACAACTCTGTAAGACAGGTAATTGTTGGAAACAGATGCTCGGTGCTGCAAAGAAAAGTCAGCACTGGGACAAAGGATCTCTCAGCAATCTTTGCTTCCTGGAGAAAGGGCAACTCGGTCAGCAGTCTTGCCACGAGAGTACAATGAACAAAAGAAAAGCAGACGTATTTATCCTTTACGAAATTGGGGTTGTCCTTATTGCTGTGTCTGATTTCCATTGGCTGGAACCAGACCTCACAATCTAAAACTGAACCTGATTGGCTGCTAACTTAAAATTTTCTTGAGTAGGTAAAGGCAATGGAGAACAAAAGGAAAAGAGGAAATCTAAATAAGGAAAGGACAGGAAGTTGCTCGTGAAAGGACTTAGAAAAGTAATAGCATAAACATCTTGGTTAAAGTACAAGGATATAGAATGTACTATGTGCCTGTGAGCATGTCTAACAGCTACATAGGATAAGGCTTAACAAAGAGTTATTAGCAAAAAGCAAGAAGGCTTTGAAGAAAGTCTTTAAAACAAATTATTATTTCTAACACTTATGATTTATTCTTTAACAAGAGAGGAAACTTTTTTTTTTTTTTTTTTTTTTTGAGACGGGGTTTTGCTCTTGTTACCCAGGCTGGAGTGCAATGGCACGATCTCGGCTCACCGCAACCTCCGCCCCCTGGGTTCAAGCAATTCTCCTGCCTCAGCCTCCCTAGTAGCTGGGACTACAGGCGTGCGCCACCATGCCCAGCTAATTTTTGTATTTTTAGTAGAGACGGGGTTTCACCATGTTGACCAGGATGGTCTCGATCTCTTGACCTTGTGATCCACCCGCCTCGGCCTCCCAAAGTGCTGGGATTACAGGCTTGAGCCACTGCGCCCGGCCCAAGAGAGGAAACTTTGAAGAGGAAGTTTTCTACTTCCCACGGTAATATTACTACACCCACTTAACAGATGTGGAAACTGGGTTCAGAGAGGTTAAGTAACTTGCCCAAAGCCACACAGTGAGTAAATGGCAGAGCCAAGATTTCAAGCCAGGTCCATTTTGACTCCAAGCCTGTGGACCTATGGAGTTGATTCACACTCCCTCCCTTGTGAATGAGTTTCTGTTGATCACATCTCTGTCAACATTTAGTATCATCAGTGTTATTGACTTCCACCAGCCTGACAGCTGAAATACCATCAGTGGCTCACTGCTGTGAGGATTTGCAGTTCTCTTTTGCTTAACCTCAGATGTGTCTCATTCTAAAGCAGGGAGAGGCTGAATGCTGTGGCTCGCACCTGTAATCCCAGCACTTTGGGAGGCTGAGGCAGGTGGGTCACTTGAGGTCAGGAGCTCAAGACCAGCCTGGCCAACATGGTGAAACTCTGTCTCTACTAAAAATACAAAAATTAGCTGGGCATGGCGGCTCATGCCTGTAATACCAGCTGCTTGGGAGGCTGAGGCAGGAGAATCGCTTGAACCTGGGAGGCAGAAGTTGCAGTGAGCTGAGATCGTGCCACTGTACTCCAGCCTGGGTGACAGAGTGAGACTCTGTCTCTAAACAAACAAACAAACAAATAAATAAATCAGGGAGAATGGTGAGTGCTGTAGAGAGAGTTCTAGCAGCAGCCTAAGGGAATGCCCATGTGAGAGTTAGCAGAAGAAACTGAGTAGCGTGAAAACAGGGCTGCCAGAGTCCCTCAGGGAAACTCAGAACTTGGATCAGCAGAGCCAAAGGGACCTCAGGCTCAGGGAGCGCAATACTTTTACAGAAGGGGAACTAGGGTCTGGAGAGAAGAGGAGACTTGATCAAGGCCATAGAGTGGTCAGTGCCCTAGCACAGCGAGCTCTCCTTCCGCAGCAGCAGATGACCTCAGGAACATCGGCTTGTGCAGCCTCAATTATTTTTAGCCTCACTTTCTCTCTTGCCTAAGGTAGAGGCCCCAGGCTGCCAACGTCGCGTGTTCCAGCAACAGCTCCTGAAGGGCACTGTTCAGGTGCTGGGCCCACGTTGTCCCCTCCTTCTCTACCGTCTGCTCTCTCTCTGGTTAGGTAGAACTGACAGCAGGGGCTTTCACTGCCTGTTCTTGTCCTCGTAGGAGGCAGTTGTTGGGATGGTTATATCATGAAGATTAAGGGCTTGTGCTGCATTAAACAACCTCCACCTCCACCCTGCCGAGCCCTGGGCCTTGACTGGGACCCCTGGGCCAGGGCTGGGTAAACTTCTAGCTAGAGCACAGGTTTTGGAGCTGATAGTCCAAATGGTCTCACCACTAGCTGAGTGACCTTGGCTGGGTCACTTAACCTCTCTGAGCTTCAAATTTCCCATCTGCTGCTCTAAACTTCTTTCCCCTTGTTCCCGGAGAAAGGGCGGACCGGAGATCCTACCTCACTCCATGGGGTAGGATCCTCACCCAACACCACGCCAAGCCCACTCTCTTCACCTGTTCCGTCATCCTTCTCCCCACCAGCCCCCCAGAAAAATATGGAAAGGTAGGAAGAATAACATACCAAATAACCAGGAATCCACTGAGTTAACTAAGGTTAACATGTAGTCATTTTTGCTCCAGATTTTTTTTCTGTTAAATACAGCAATATTGGGGGCCTCTGTTCCCCCCCCCGTTGTACCTCCTTTCCTCCCTCTCCAGAGTTAATTGGTTTCCTGAGAATGCCACGTATTCTCCAGTAACTGGTTTATGTATT